GAAAGTAAGGGAAAAGCTTTGACTTTTTTCCTCAGTGTGTATGCATACCTAGAAAACTCAAGGCAGTCCACACTTATTATTTCTGACAGTATCTGGGACTTTTCTGGCTTAGGCTCTTTTCTTTCTTCAGGGCAGTAAATTGCTTGTGACAGTTCAGCAGCAGCAGGAAGGGTCCTCTCCCATTTACCAGCATCCCTTAAGGTAAAGATGGATGGGGCTCTGAGCACCTGATGGAGCTGTGGGTGTCCCTGTTCATTGCAGAGGGGTTGGACACGATGGCCTTTAATGGTCCCCTCCAACTCAAACGATTCTATGATCCTATGATTCAAGACACTGTGCTGTGACAAGAGCTCTGACACTTTCTTCTTGCATACACCAGGTTTCTGGGATGGCTGAGCCCTCCTCAGCCATATTCATGTTTCATATGTATCTGTTTATTGCTGCCAGCTCCCTGTATGGACTGTGCACATGAAAGGGTTTCTCCCATGGCAGGTTCCCCATGGTGTTCTTATGGAGCTACATGCTGCTGGCAGAGATATGTCCCCTGCTGCCTCCTAAGGCTGACATTATTGGAGGGATTGCCTTGCAGGAAAGTCACAGAGACCTCTGAGGTCTTCTTGCAGAAGGAGCTGATGAGAAAGTCTGAGAAATGGAGCACAAAGGGAACAACTCTACTTCATGTGCCTGCTCTGCAACCACTTCTCCACTACATGGAGCTGTTGAAGTTCAGATTTTCAGCTCAGGGAATTGTTTGCTTTAGATAAGAGCTAGCGTACCCATGGCATTCCCAACCATATAGATGCACAAGGGAGTTCCTAGTGTAGTGGAACACCAAGATGATGCAAATTGCCCTTCTTGGTAAATAAATAAGAACATTTCCTTTTAAACAAAGCACTTGCATCCTCGGCGTTCATATTTGATCAGAGAGGTCCACAATGCATCACGCTCAGGAGAAAACTCAGGACAGGAAGTCTTATGCCCAATGAAATCCACGGATCTGTTGTCCCCATGCCCTTTTCCTCCCACTTCTCCTCCATCCCACTTCCTTTTCCTGTGACACTTACACTGCAGCTCCTGCACATGCTAATTGGTAAATCAAACCATTTGCAGGTTACTATTTTCAGTGTTATCTTTGCCCTGCAGAATGTTTCCTGCTTTCCTGCCTGCAGCATTTCTCCAAGATGCCCCTCAGCAGTGAAGTCCCAGCACAGATGTGCCAGGGGAGCCTGCATGTGCAGGTCAGCTCAGGAGCAATTTCCCTTGACGGGGCACAAGCTTCCTAAAAGCCACTCACCCTCAGAGTACATAGAACAGCCCTCTGAGGTGGTTTGATGGGGTCTTTGCCATAAATAGCCTGCAGGGAGGCTCCCTGGGCACACAAGGAGGAGGTAATCAAGTGTCTATAATTTGCCAAGCCTTGCTGCAGATCAGCAACAGGAGGGAAAATCCACTGGGATATACAGCTGAGGTCTTTGAGTCGCTGATCCCAGATCCCTTCTGCGTGTCCTTGGGCTGTTCACCTCCCTGGAGTTTTCAAACCAGTAGACAAGTTTGATGATACTGATTTCATGGTTGACACAGTTTTTCTATAACCTAAGATACAGCAAACAAATATAAAAGGACCACAGAGGAGCTTTGGGTGGCCACATGAAAAAGTCCAGCCTTATCATCAACCATTCCCTTGAGTGGTACTCACATACTGCAGGTTCATCATTTGGCTCTTTCATGGATTCCAAGGAGAAACAAAACAAACACACACAAAAAAAATAGAAGACACAGATTTGAAATTACAACACAGTGTATAGAAGGTGCAACAACAGCTTGAATTTCTCTGTATTTACACCACAGGATAAACTTGGTTGCTCAGATCAGACCGTGTCATAGATGTTCAATTGGTTCTTCCCTGAGTGTCCGCCAGGGCTGAGCAGAATTCAGGTGCTGCCTCTGTGTCTTTGTAAAAATATCAGAAATGCCTATGCTTTGAGCCACACCCTTCTGCAGCACAACACAGACAGCAGCAACCTTTTTCACCCTGGGGGTGTTATTTCTTAGAATAAGAAGGTGTTTAATAAAAACAATAAGAAAAAAAAACAACCTAGACGTATCTGTCAGAGGGCTCCAGCCCATCTACAAGTGTAGCAGCAGCACCAACATCATGCAGCAGCTCAGCTGTTTGGGCTGCAGTCCCCACCTGCTACCTACATCTATTATAGTTTTCAGCTGCCTTTTTTTTTTCTTTTTTTTTTTTATGGCACTTCAAGCCATAGGAAATAATGATGTGGGTGGGTTGTAAGGTCTGGGAATGTGCAGCCAAACCCATTCTTGCTGCAGCACACTCACTAACTTCAGCTTAGGCTGCAGTAGTGTCTCCTTGTGCTATACCTACTGTACTACCTACTGTAAGGTAGCAATGCATCCTATCGTCTCCTGAGGACCCCACGGACACACAGACACTCTTTACTCTGACCGTATGAAAGACAAACTTCTTATTGCCCCGGAGAAGTAAGTAAAGCCAAAAGTAAAGCTAAAGGTCTCCAAAACGCATTGTGTGACAAGTAATTGCACACTGCCAGGGAGTTTTGCCATGGCATACATTAATCCCAGTGCCTGCAGACATAGGACTGCCAAACCAACAGGGCTCTGCTGTTCAGGGTGAGAGACTTTTGCTTGAGGAGGTCATGATCAGGCACAGGACTTACAGATTTCCACCCCCCAGGCATACATTGCCGCATCAGTGCAGGCTGAGGAAGGGCAGATTTCTACAGTTTATAGAAGTAGGTGAGTCAAAATCAGTAGAGCTTTAAAGCACAGGTGTGGGATGCAGGCATTTATGCAGATTGACAAAACAAAAGCAATTCATCAATGTCATCCCACCTTATGACAGCGCAGCACACATCACGCTTAGAAAAAAAGAAATCAGTGCATTAGAAATCTCAGCAGCTGGCACTTCTGTGTTTCACATCCATCAGCACTACAGGAGGGTTTCTGTGTGCATGTGACTAAGAAACCAGAAAGGCACACTACTTCTTTTGCCACTTATCTGGCCTGATTGACAAGGTGGAGTGGAGCTGCCCTGCCCATCTCACAGTATCTTGCTTGAAGGATCCTACCTGTGATCAATCTTGATATCAGGTGCAAAAAAGCCTGCGTTCCTGGGTTTTGTCCCTGTCACAGATTGTGATGCCCAGTGGCATCACAGCCACTGTCATGTCTAAACTGGGCTCAGGTCTGGAGCTGCTGAGGCTCTTTGTTAAGTATATTAGATGTGTCACATCTGTGCAGGGAGACTTGTTCACTGAGAGATCTCCACCTTGTGCTTGGTCAGAGAGACACAGAGCTCAGCAGCCCTCTGTGCTTCTGAGCCTCACTTTGGCCATCGCTATCCTGGAGTGGTTCATGGGGAGGTAGAACAGAGAGGGAATCTGAAGTCTTCTTCATTCATAGGTTCTTGCTATTTTTAATTTAGGTCATGACGAGGGGAAGATAACACTAACAATGCACATTTTCATCTGCAGTGGAACAGAGAAATGTCAAATATTCTACCAGAAACTACTCAGGAGTTTCTGAATGAAAACGGGGAGTGAATAACTCAGCCTGAAAGTCCTTCAGAGACACTGAACCCCACCAGTCTCACATAGCTATTTCTGTTTTCTGATCAAAGATGCACAATCATTTTCTCTAATGTGGTACTGCAAAACCCTCAAGAAAGTTCTATGCTATGCAGCAGTGAGCTAACAAAGGCTGGACTCTTCTCTCCCTATTCTTTGGATAGCCTCGGTACACCAGTAGGAAGATGATATGAAGACACCTTATATGAAGTTCAACCTGTGTAAACATAGTGCCTGTCTTAATAGCACCCAGCAATTAAAAGACAGAAAGAAATAAGCTCCAAGTGACCTATCTAAACTCACCAAGATGCAAAGAAATGTTTCCATTTACTTCAGTTGAATTTAGATAGAGGCCAGAGGGTTTCTGCTTTCTGCTATAAATGGTTCTTTATCAGATCTTTATTCTGCCTGGATACGACAGCAGTGCTATACATCTGAGGCCAAAATTTATATTGCTGTACTGCTTTTGTTATCTCTATGGAATACAGACTAAACTTACTTGAAATGTTTGGTTTGTTTTTGCCACCCATGTCTCTGTTTTCATCTCCAGTCACTGAAGATCGTGTCAAAAGCTTTTGAAAGTTTCTTGAATGTGAAATCTTGACATCTGACCTCAACTTGCTAGGGTAATAATTGTGGGTTAATGTTGATTTGGGCCATACATGAAGAAGCAGTGATTCTAAGTAGTAATGTTTTTTAAGTCCATATAGAATATTCAAGGGCACAGAGAGGTGTTGTCTTCCATTTCTCTATGGAGAACCACACAACTTTCAGTGTGTCACCATAATATCTTGTTGGATATTGTTGCATGTGTGTTTTTATTTGGGTATCCTCACATCTATGTCGGTGGGAGTCAGTAAGCATCACAGGTAGCATAATCCATTCTAGCATTACTGGAAACAGAATAGCTTTTTCCTCATATCACCACCCTCTTTGTTGGGCTTCTCATCTAAATACCTAACTAAATACCTAACTTTTTTCATACGTATACAACTGAATGTACTTGTAACACCCTGGATATGTATTATCTCCACCATATATATAAGAAATGAGAGCCTATTGCAGTTGGCCTGTTTCTCTGCCAGAGCCTGAGAGCCCAACACTGTAGTGTTCATGGCATGTTGGGTATACACCAAGGACAGGAGTCCAAGAAATGATGCTCCTGGTCACAAATGAAGCCTAGCAGTTACAAGAGATAAACCTAAATTTTCTCACCACCTTACAAATGGCTGAATTTGAAAGAAATTAATTCCTTTGTTAAGGCTTTCTTTTATCCTGGCTTCTCTCCTGACAGCATGGGTCGGTCACTGCTTCCTTCATCAGCCATCAGCTCTTCATGCCACAGTCACACGTTCCCAGCAGAGCCCAAGGCATAACAAGATATAACAAGAAGGATGGAGTAAATGGAGGCTGAAGACAAAAGCAACAGCCCAAACACCTCCAAAGAAGGCTGTGCTGCCTCATTCATCACAGCAGGGCAGGAAGCTGTGCCCTTCTCACAAACTCCCTGCTAAAACGCAGCTGTGGTTTCTGAGCTGCTAGCTGGTAAAAGGCAGCAGCCATGCAAAGCGGATCTTGTGCATGCAAGAGCCACAGTGGGTGCGCAGCAGTGTGTGTGGGTGCTGTTTAGTGTCTGAAGGCAATACAGAGGACATCCAATGGAACAGACTGCTTCAGAGGACTTTCTGAAACCTCTGCATTTGCAGCAGCGTTGTAGAAACTCCCATGATCTGTGTGCTCTGATCAGTAGAAATGTCGCAGCCCTCAATCCGGGGGCTGTGCTGACACAGACCCACAAGCATCATGCTATTTATTCCTTTAGCTTCCCACCAATGCCACATTTTTCTGTCCTGACCATTTGTATTTTCCCCTTTCTGATGTCCTCTACTTACAGTAAGTAGTAAATAGTTTATTCTACCTCTTGTCTTTCAGGATATTTTCAGGAGCAGAACTTCCCAGTGCAGTTACTGTAGAAGCCTCTTTACAACGACCTCAAGTAATGACACGACCAAGACTCTAAAGGCTAGGGGATTCCACTCACTGTCTGTAACCTTGCACCTAACTACAAGTGACACTTGCGCCCTGATGAAGTCATCAGCAGTGTACTTTCTTTAAGCCCATGACTCTTATGACTACGCAGTATCATAGGCAACTTCCTGAAGTCCCTACAGAGCAGCCTGTGAGTACAGCACGGGTCAGAGTGCCTTACCATCTTCTCTGTGAAAGCCAGGGAACAGAAAAGAAGTAAGTGATTGCTGGCACTGAGACAAGGCTTCAGCTCAGCAGCGTTTTGCTTTCTTTGCTTTGTTGCTGCTTCTCCATACTGTGCATTTGTATTTCAGAGATGTAGATTTTGTTGATGTTTCACAGCCTAAAACTCCATGTGATTGATATGATAAAGTTCTGTTGGGTCTGTATTAGTTAGAGTTCACTGCAGTTAATGGAGTCTTTGCTATTTGCTACCTGTTATCCTTACAGATTTCCTTTCCTAAACAAAACGCAGTCCTTTCGTACAAAAAGAATTAGTTCCAATCAGAAATAAGTGATAAGTAAGACTGAAATATTGTGGTAGGATCCAGGCTGCTGAGATTTGATGGTCACTGCAGTGCATGAGGCATAAATTCTGAATTACTTTAGAAATGCCAATAGCACCATCGTCATTGCTGGGCTTCTTTTGGTAGACCAGAATTCACACCCAGACCTTCCTCTCATTCTTTCTCAGACAGAAAAGCAGGACAGGCATTTTATCATGTTTATCTGCTGATATATAGTGACTGATCAGGTATACAAACTTTCTTTCTTTTCTCCATCTCCTATTTACACAGTTCTGCTGATTGCTGGCACACAGAAATATCAAGATGATGAATAAAGATTATTTTTAAAAGACGACCCCAGTCTGGAGTGGAACCAATAGTGTTCAGAGAACAGTATAAAGCCTTAAGTTATTTTTAAGCGTATTTTAAAATTAACACACAAAACTTTGACATAATTCTTTTTCCAATAAATATTTTGAGATTTGCCTTATTTTCCTGAGGCACTAAAAATGCTGAGATCAGGCTCAGTGTTGTTCTCTTGCTTTGAAATGAAAGCTGCTCTGCCATTGCATTTAGTGAAGCTGCAGCATTAAGGAGACCACAAATTTTCTGATTAAGTCACAAGTTGGTAACAGTTGACACCATGTTGGCATGTGGGCAGAATGAATCAGTTTGAGCTCCTCTCTTTAAGACTTGAAGGGAAATCAATTTTGCTCTGAGAGATTTTGAAGTCTGAGTGGATCTTTCCTATGCCAAATCGCATTTAGCAAAGGGTGAGCATCCTAGTGCCAGGCTGTCCTATTGACTAGATCAAACTGAACTTTGTTTCCCAGATTTAGTTTCTCATAGAGTCTTCCTGGTTGCTTTTCATCTTTCTGGTAACTCTCTCCAGGTGTTCTTTTCCTTTATGTTGCAAGAGAAAACACCACAAGTTATGGATACAGGCTCCCATGGAAATTTTGATGTAAATCTTGATACTCTGCCATAGACCAATGTGCGTTTTAACCTTAGTTAAGACTTAGTTTTAACCTATTTTTCCTGTGATCTTATTTAGACCAAACACCACATCCATACAAGCAGTTCCTCAGCTTCCAATAACTTCATTTGAAGAAAAGACTCTTTTTCTGCTCTTTCACAGCTAATAGGCAAGGCTTGTTTTCTACTGAGGACTTTTCCATAGTCTGTACAAATGACACTGCACTTAAACAGAGTATGAATTGAGCACCTCTTCTGTAGAGGTTTCTGCCTGAAACTGCAGATGACTCTTTCAGGTTCTGCATTTTCCATGCCTCTTAGGGGGAAACTTAATTTAGAGCCTCATCACGAGCACACAGGTAGCGTTGCTGTCAAGGGCAATGTTTCAGGTCTCTCTGGCTGCAATGGCAAAACTCAGCCATGATTTGTGGGGATCATGTTAGCAGTTGTGGTGCCAACGCAGCAGCAGCATGGCTGGAGTGACAGCTGCAGCAACAGGAGGACAAATTTCTGTGGCCGATGTTCATGACTGCAGCCTGAGCTCAGAAAAGCTCCAGTTTTGTTTGCCTTCTCTTGATACTCTTTGTGTTTTCAGTGCGTTATGGGGTGTAGTTAGCTAAAGCAATGAGCAGTTCTGTGCTGAAACTGATATGTGTTATTCCATTCCCACCTGACTTAAGCCCCTTTCCTTCCCTGTGCAGATGTGGTGGCCTATCCAAAAGCATCTGAATATCTCTACATTGCCGTTGTCTCTAAGGTTCCTGGGGTTGGGTTTAGCAGATGGGACACCTCCTCATGTCCCTCTGTCACATGTTACTGCCTCCTCCATGAATGTGCCTCACTATGTGAAAAATCACTGCTTTAAATCACTTTGGGGACGTCGTACATAAGGGACAGTATTTTTCTTAACAACGTCTCCTGTGCTGGAAATATATCAAAGCATTGGAGGAGGAAGTAGTCAAGGATCATTTGGGCAGAAATCCCATAATCTTTACAGATGTCTTCTGTAAAGCACATCAGGTTTGACAGAATCTTATCCAATTTCATGAACTATGACTATTTTTATAGCAGGGTTCAGTGCAGATACACGCTATCAGACACATCTAAGGTTCAGCCATTGTTGATGCTTTTGGTGGAGCAGAGCATATGACAAAAATATTCTCCAGGAAACAAATATCACACTGTGGACCTGAAGTCCATAAACACAGAGGGTTCGGTATTGAGTCTCATATGTGGAAAGTAAAGTGGGTTATATTATTGCATAGGCAAGTAGGGTCTCACTGGAGTGACAAGGATGAAGAGAAGTGGGAAATTCAGAATATGATCTATTGGAAAAAATGCATGATTTCCCTATCCATAAAAAAGGACACTGTGGGGAATATTTAGTAGCCAGTGTTTTCACATGCATTCCAGTGTAAGGTTCCCAGCCCTGAGATGAGATGCTCAAAGGGTTAGCCATTAATGAGATGTACAAAGGGTTGGAAGAAATGGCAGCTGAGGTAATGGACAAAACACAATAGGAGATTTAGCAGAGAGAAGAATGAGCTCACAAACACATCAGAGATGCACACAGATGCAATGAGGAATTTTTGAGCACGACAGTTTTGGTGCTATAACTTAAGTCTTAAGAGGAAAACCCTGTCATGGGTACATGAGCTAGCTCTACAGGAGATGACCCATTTGGCAAAAAAGGGAAATCAGTAGTTCTCCAATTAGTTGAGAGTGAACCATAGAACAAGAAGGAACAAAGAAAATGAGTTTCAGGGTAAAGGGAAAAGGAGGAAATATTGATGTCTGAGCTCTGAGTACCATTTTTAAGTTTTCTGTTAAAAATAGCGTTGTTTCAAGAATAGAAAGCACTGTGGTTTTCATGAAGCTTTGCAAATCCCACCTGCTGAGACACATTCACTTCAGCTAAAGTAAAAAACTTCTGAGCAGAAACTAGCTAGAATTCCCAGAGACAAGCAATTTGTCAGTGACCCCAAATCTAGCAGGTCACAAAATTATTCTGGGCATTGCTCTAGTTTTCCCCTTTAGTCTCTTTTACCAGCACCAGTGCAGCTCCCACAAGTGGTTCCTGTGCAGACGCACAAGGGCAGGGCCAAGATCACTAAATCCCACACAGCATCATGAGGTTGTAAGCTGAACACTGTCTATGTGTTCTCCTACTACTGGCAGAGATAAGTCATACTACCTACTCATTCTTTTTAGCACTACCTTGCTGTGCTCAGACTGGAGAATTTCAGAGGGATGAAAGAGACAGACATTTTTGGGATGCAGGGACAACCTATGACAATGGAGATATCAGAGCAGGAAGAGGGGAAGCTTGTGCATTTATGAGTTTGAGCAGGAGATGTCTTTGGTTATGAATAAATATTCTTTTCACATATTACTGCCTGGTGACAGTGGCCAGTCAGCATCCTCTGGTTTCCCAGGGAGCTTGAATGACAGAGGAGGTACAAATTACCAGCTGCAGATCTCCTAGGTCAGCAGGATTGCAAATCACTGATTGACTCGGGACAGAGGTGGGGAAAGCAACAGCAAGTTGGTGAAAGGCAAATGCAAACCATGGCAATGCACAGATCATATTTAAAGAAAAACAGACCCAGGTGATGACAGGCTGGCAGGATCTGACCTGATCTGCAATGGAGGACAGAGCCTGGCCTCAGTGTTGAGAGGCCAACAGCACAGAAGATGGGTGCCAGCTACAGGCTACCATAAGCCATAGGCATGGCAATGGAGGTGTTGGCAGGAGTCTTCTGCATTCAGGCCTAGTTAACTGAGGCTCAGAAGAAGGAGGAAGGCATCCATAAGTACTGAGATCCTAAGATGAGAAGGTGACAGTGCAGTGGGATACTTGTCATCGTTCTTGCATCATCTCTTGGATACCCACCCAAGAAATGGGAAAGAGGCCCAGTATGTAAGCAAAGAGCATTGAAGAGCTAGGAGGAGAGAGCAAAGATTATTGTGCTGAGGCTTGGAAAATGGACCTCATGAACCATCTGGGCCTCAAAGCAGAGCAGCACAATAGGAAGCTTAAGGCAGCCTGTAGCAGTCATAATGGCTTCACATGGCCACAATACCACCAATGCCAACTCTTTGGTATACCAGCCTATTTTTTTAAGAACCCAGAGCAGTATTCATCTTTGTATAAGACCTCAGTGTCAAATTTGAAGGCACCTGGCTGTTCTGAACATCCAGGAGCTTTCAAGGGGGTTCCGAATAAGCTGCACATGGGAATCCCCTCTCAATTCTTCCAAGATTTGATAATTTCAGCATGAAGTAGCAAGGAGGTGTTACCTGCTCAATTTTTACATGGGTCACTTAAGTAAGGGAAGTCTTATTTGAATAGCCTCTGCCACCAAGGTTATGTGTTAGATCTGTTCTAGCTTCATGGAGATATCAGGCACAAATGCTTTCTGGTTTCTTGTCAGGGAAAGGTGTGAATCAGAAGTACAAAACTTGCAGTCTTGGGGTTGTTCTCAGTTGTTCACTCTCACTACATCTGCTCCACAACCTTGAACCTTCCTTCAACCTTTTGACCTGACTGGCTTTGTAGTTCATCCTCAAATTTATGACAGTATTTCTGGGGTTCTGATGGCTCTCCAAACTGAATCAATTCCTCTGACTGTGGTCAGAGACAATCTAATGTCTCTGTCTAGAACTGTGGTTCTAGACAATCTAGTAGGTGTTGTAGAATAAATCTGCTCTGCAAAAGCCATTCTCTGATGCTCT